AGAATCTTTTAATACTATTAATAGAGTATTCTTATAGTTAGTTAAGACAGTTAGATTAATTCTAGATTAATTATAGTTAATCTAGCTTACTGTCTACTATACTAAATAAGAATTGATAGTCTTGATACTAAGTATAGTTAATTTAGATTAACTGTCCAATTTTTAGCTTAACTATAATTAGATATAAAAATTCTATTAACCTAGTCATAATCTAGTAGTTAGGTATAACTGACCCCATTAACCTAACCTAACCTGGCCAAACGCCAGTCTACTCTAGTCTTTTTTTAGTCTCTTATAATATTTTTTAATAAAAAGTTTAAATTAATTAAATACTCTCTCTATAAAATAGATAAATATAAAGTAAATCTTATTACTATTAATTAATATTTTATTATAATTAATTCTAAAATATAATTTAAATTAAAAATTCTTAAAATTTATTATATTATTTATTAAATAGCTCTAGAACTTTAATTTTAATAGTCTTAAGTTTAAGACTAGTTTTATTATTAAAATTTAAAGATAACTCTATAATAATAATATAAATTAATTATAAAAAACTAGACTGGCGTTTGGCTAGGTTAGGTTAGGTTAATGGGGTCAGGTATACCTAACCGGTAGGTTATGGCTAGGTTATATATATATATTGTACTGTCTGTGGTTAACCGGCAGTTAATCTAGTTCTGTCTGAGACAGCTAACTAGATCTATTTAGGCAGGCAGTAAACTAGAGTTACTTAAAATACTGCTGACAGAAAATAGTCTTAATCTACTGTCTACTAGAACAGACTTAGTTTGGTACCTTGTGACCTTATCAGATAAAATTAAGTTAACCGCGATTAATCTAGTTTTAATCTTAATCTAGATCGGTTAAACATTTTTATACCTTAACCTAACCGGCCCCGGTTAGGTTAGGTTATGGCTAGGTTACAACGGTTAGGTTATGCCACTCTATAAAAAACTAAATTAATTATATAAATAAGTATTCTTATATATTCTATAGCTAGTTATTTCTGCTATAAGCCTATAACTCTTTTAAAAGTAAATAATAGAGTATATTTAATTATAATATATAGTACTATATACTTCTGATATACTCTCTCTAAGATAAATTTCAAAGTAAATATTATATAACTAAGTTAATATCAGTTTTTTATTTACTATTATATTAGATACTTATTATAGTTATTAACTTATTCTTTAGTAATTCTATAGTTAATTTCAGCTTTTATTATCCTATAATATTCTGCCTTATGTATCTGTCTTTAATAAGATATACTAGACAAGGGTCTGTATTTGAACAATGAATAAGAAAAAAGGATTAGGTAGATAAAGATGAACGTGCACCAAACCAAGACCATAAGATAACTTCAATGACTATCCTGGATGGAATGTCCTTTTCTTTATCCATCATTTCTCCTCTCGCTGTTGGAAACATGTGGCCGATTCTGAGAGAGCCACGGTCACGGATTCCTGGAATCTTTTTCCCTGGGAAATCAATGCACTTATGAAATTTCCTCCAAAATGTTTGACCTGTATACAATCATATTAGTAAGATAAGTTCTTTTTTAAATATATCCACTCTAGTGTTACCTACACATTCTGAAGACTGCAGCCATTCTAAGGGATTCTGAGTAAGCTCTGCAGTATCGTTGAGCTGACCAACATCTTCGGCAATACATGATATAAAGCCATCCAGCTGTTCACGGTTCTTCTCATTGGATTCGGCCAAGAAATCAAAGGAATGTCCGAGTTCCTTTTGCACAGCTTCTTTAACACACGTTTCTTGGTCACGCTTCTCAAGGTTGTGAATTGGTGTAGCGAAGGTAAGGCCTACAGCGGCGAGCGAAAATAGTGTCTGAATCTTCATATTTACACACTCTTGGATGATCTCAACTAGGGAGGCGAAAGTGATTTCCAGTAGAGAAAAATATGTGTGATATCAGGAGAGTTGTTAAAAAAAAAAAAAAAAAAAAAGAGGGCTAGTGAGAGAAAAGAGAGAGATACGTTATGAAACAGCAGATCCAGCAATGGCCCAGATTCTTATACCTTGAGTCCTTGACAGCAATGCCTCAGGCAGGGGGAGGTTCCACTTCTGGCCATGTGAATTGGGTATTTGGTGAATAAAATGTAGATCTTAACCAGGGGCATTCTTTGGAGCATGATTGCTGAGTTCTAAAAACGTGTGGGGCGAAAACACAAGCTGAAGTTTAAAACCTTTGGTGGGGACTGTCCAAATGGAGGATGACCATCGTGATCGGCAGATCCTAAGACCCGGATTGAGATATGGCCCACACACTATTACAGGGTAGCGTGAACAACTCATAAATTATAAATATATCTACTCTGTAGCTTTGTACACTTCACTACAAGTGCCCAATATCCAATCCTTGCTGTAGAAACTATTTCTGGAGAAGTAATTTGCTCCCTAGCGTCTCCAGCCATATCTATTGAACTTTGGGCCCCAGAACTATACGAAGAAAGTCTGTGGGAAAGACTCAGAAGACTAACCCTATCCTATAATAATCCTGCTTCTGTTAACAAATTGCTGATCTTAATAGATTGGTATCCTTATATACACTAACCTGAGATGGAATGACCGCTTCCCTGGGTTCTTGCTAAGTCTAATATTATTCGCTATTTGGTCAGAATTCTACTCCTAAAGAAGGCATGGAATTTTAAACTTATATTTTATTGAACAAATACCAATTTACGTGGCCCAGAAGTGGTGGGACCTTCTCCTGTCTGAGGCACTGCAGTCAAGGTATAAACATCTGGGCGATACCACACGTTCAAACACATCTTTCTCCATTGGAAAATCAGTTTCACCTCCCATACTCAACAGTATCCAAACATGAAGATCCAGATCCTGTTTCCGCTTACCGCAGTGGGCCTCGCCTTCGCTAAACCAATTCACAACCTCGGGGAGCGCAATCCTACTGAAGACACCCTCACGTGTGTCAGGGATGGTGTGGAGGCAGAATTTCAGCGCGCGTGTGAGAACGCTGTTGACACATGCAGAGACGGTTTGTACGAGCTGTCCGAATTGAGATCATGTATAGACACAGCTACTACCGAAGCCGCCGAAAGTTCTCCATTGAGAATTCCCATACGTTTCTTAACAGGATATAAGAGCTGTGTAAGTAACACTAGAGTGGGTGTATAAGGCTTATCTCACTAATGTTATACAGCTCGACCGCGCCCCTAAACTGGGAAATCTGCAATCGGAACAGTTGCAAATTCTGCAGGAAGTGATCCCGCAGATTGAGAACAATGTTTTGCCCGGCTGTATTAAAGGATTCAATCTGAATTGAGGATGATGCTTGATTCCTAGTCCTTGCCTGGGAGATGGAACAGTTGAGAAAGAATTATATATTAATAACCCTTTAAGGGTTACCTTTATGTAATAATAAATTTTGTCTTTTTATTAAAGGATCGATGTATATAGGGACAAGAAATATGGGGAGGCGTGGAAGACGAACAACAATCAAAGGAAGCATTAGAGAAAGAGTTGAATTTACTGGGAGCATCACTCTCCCAGATCACAGGGGCGATTGTGGCCAGCTTGATTGAACCAGTGTTTTTTACCTTTACCTAATGAACATTTGATTTAAAGAAATTGATTTTTTTTATGCCTACTGATACTTTTCTGGGGGCGTATGGGGGATGGAGGATATGATGTAGCTAGAATTCCATTGGAGATATCCTGTATCTGGTTTTGATCTATGTCCTCCGAAGAGCTTCCAACGAAACATGGTACGTCGAAAGCAGGCGCATTGGCCCCGCTCGTTACCGATTATGTTAAGATAGTAATTTTGAAGAGTTGGGTGTGTTTGTGTTTGTATATCACTTCCTACACAACATATAATAGGGCCACTGTTCGCCACGTGGTTCGGATAGTTCCACTCCCGATCTGTAAGCGAACCACTCTACAGGGAGTCAACACGAACTTTCCGCGCCTTATCTCAGTAGTAGAGCTCTCTGGAGCTCTCCACACAGTTAGTACCCAGCGTTCATGCAATACCAGCTCTGACTGCCGCAGAACTAGCGACACACTAAACCCTGACCCTGTCAGAGCTGGCACCTCTGTTTGTAATAGTATATTAAATAGGTAAGATCTAAAAAGCTACGAAGTAGTTATAGATATAGATAAATCCCCGAACAATAGATTCCACATAGAAAGTCTGGGGAAGAGGAACTCAATTCTTATCCCTGTTGACCTAATAAAATCAATAGGCCTTAACTAGGGGGTATTCTTAGAGTCATGGTTGCTGGATTCTAAAAGCCGCGTGGCGTGAAAACACGAGCTGAAGCTGAAAACCTGTGGTGGGACTGGACAAACCTAGGAAGATCAACGTGATCTACAGATTCCAGGACCAGATTTAGATGTGGGCCCCACACACTATTGTGGGTTGGTATACACATACTATTTCCTTGGTACATTGTATTTATCACATATATCATTTATTCTACGTGACCAGAATGGTAATTTTGTCGAACTTTTCTTCTGCCTGAGGCATTGAACTCAAGGTATAAAGATCTGGGCTATTGCTGGCTGGATCTGCTGCTTCTTGAACATACATCTCATCTTTTCTCTCACTCATCTTTAGTATACTTGTATATTATATTTTTCCATTGGAAATCAGGGTTCACTGCTCTAGTTAAGATAATTTAACAGTATCTCAATATAAAGATCCAGACACTGTTTTTACTTGCCGCTGTTGGCCTCGCTGTTACTAGCCCAATCCACAACCTTGAGAAGTGCGATAATACTTCTTACACCAAATATATCCGTGAAGGCATAGAGAAAGAAGTTAATAACGCGTGTGCAGCCCGTCCTGATGACTGCACCCTCCAGGAGGAGTGGGCATCTTGTATGGCCCAAGCTGCGGACAAAACCGACACACTTCTTGAACTTTTCCGGCTTCCCCACTATCTGTGGAATCAATATTTTGAATGCGTAAGCAGCAGCAGAACGGGTAACGTATTCGGTAAACGAACCGCCACTGTAAGCGACCCGCCATCTTCTGTTTTCCATCGTAAATAGCCTATTTTTAAACAATAATATCTCAACTATTATAAGATATTTCAGGTTATGATCAAGATATCTTACTAATATCACTATTCTACTCTAAAATAAGCTATATATCAAGTTTTAAGTAGAGATAAACTGAATTGTTTACTATAGAAAACAGAAGATGGTAGGTCACTTACAGTGGCGGGCCTGGCGGCTCGTTTACCGAATATGTTAGTTAACTATGGATGGTCAAAACCCCGTTTCGACCAGTCGATTTGCCTACAAGGTAATCAGAATTGATTGAGTATAGAGAGGTCTGATCTCTAGTAATATACTAGATCTTCCTACCATATATAAATTTATAATTAATAATAAAAATAAATTACTTAACTCTTGTTTTTATAATACTTTTACAAAATTAATGGAATATACATAGATTAATAAGTTTTAGTCTATATATATTTTAGAGATTTTCTTATAGTTATATAAGCTATAATATAGAGTAAAGAGAAACTACTCTTAAATTATTTACTAAATTTATTAATAATATCCGGGAGTAACTGGAGTAGCTGATATATACTCTATAAATAATTAATAAGTAACTTAGAATAATTAAGGTACACTTATATACTGTCTTATAAAAGCGGCGGCACCTGTATTGGGTAACTGGGCAGAACTCGCAGAAAAACAATTCAGTTATTAACTATTATACGAAAATTCCCCTCACGTTGCAAATCAGGTGACGCTGAAGACGATTAAATGTACCCTTTGTTTACCGCCTCCTTGTTGTGGATATGCTTTGGCCCTAAGTTATGGATCGAATTAACAACAGTTCGCTAGGGGGCTAAGACTGGTAGTTGCTCGTTTTCACGGTGATGATCTGGTGAGGAGTGGTTTGTGGATAAGGCAAAAGAGGTGTTGCCGGGGCGGCAAGATACGATTTATTAGTCTAATAAATCTATGCAACCTGGCGGGCATGGATTCCATAAATTTCCTGTTTGATCATGGAACACGCTGTCAAAACCATGCGTTGTAGTTCCCAGACTCAATCCCAACATCAGCAATGCGTTCACCCCGCAAGTGTCGCACGACGCTGTGGGGTGCTTTACCGATTTCGGTGATTTAATGTTAAGATCGGGCCGAGAATGACATATAATGCATGTATATCAGTTACAGCCGCAAGTGTCTTTTCTCGCTTGCATGAAAAGTGGTCTTATTCGAATTGTCTCACTCTCTGCGCGGCAGGAATGAGTAGGAAAAGTCTTCTATCTCTCTCGAGTCTATCTATTCAAGTTGTATTTTATTGTTTTCGCAATGGCTTCCTCAAAGGACTCCAAGAAAGCACCCGACTTTGGGTTGAAAGGGGGTGGCTGACATTCTGGATTACCGTGAGTTCCTTTTCTGTTGGCTTCATATGCTCCTTGTATGGCTAACTCCTTGTTTTCTGAGCAAGCTGCCTGTGCCACAGACATGAGTTTCTTTGGATACGATCAAGGTCTTTTTTCAGTAGTATGTTTATCCCAAGAATCTGACCCCTGAGAGGGCCGCATACGATACTGACAATTGTCTTCGAAAGGCGGCGTTGTGGTTGCGGAGGGGAGGACTTTCTGGTGGTTCACAATATAGTAGGACGATCAAAACCAAGACACCCTCCACTGTCACTGCCATCTACGATGTTGGATGTTTCTTCGGCGCACCCGTGGCCTTCAGTATTGGGAAGCGCCTCGGTCGAAAGAAGTCAACCCTACTAGCAACCACCCTTACGACGATCGGCACCCTTCTCAAGTGCGTGTCGTACAGTCTTCCACAGATATTTGTTGGTTGGGTAATTCTCGGGTATGTTTTTGAATTGCGTCGTTTCTGACTTCGATTCCGTTTCAATGACTGGGGTGAGGCCAGTTTCAGAAATGAGATCAATACATCAACAGCGCCAACCTGGCAAACAGAGACTTCCGCACCCAAATGGATATGGAGGCTCGTTTTCCTGGAAATGGTCATGAACATCCTTGACTTCTCTATGGTCAACTGGATCAACTACGGCCTTTCATTTGCCGGTGGCGCGGTGGGCTGACGACTTACGATCGCTTTCCAGTTTATTTTCATTTTCGTTCTATTTGCAACTATCCCATGGCTTCCCGAGTCCCCGAGGTGCGTTGTCTACTCTGTCCTTGACTGTGTCTCGAATCGCTCACTTACTGTGCTCCCTAAACGCAGATGGCCCATGCAAAGGGATACGGGAAGGAGGCCATCGAAATCATTTCATGTATCGAAGCCAAGCCCGTCCATGACCCTTGCGTTGTGGTGCAGGAAAATGATATTGAATATACTATTTAACACGAGCGAGAACATGCCATCCGATGTTATACGGAGGCCAATGCTGGTACTGCCGAAGGACATATGTTTGGTTCCGCCTCTATTGTGTCCTTCTTTCTCTTCTATATTTTCTTTGGTCTTGGTATGCTCGAGACTCCGTGGCTTTATCCTCCAGAACTCAACTCCCTCCAAATGCGGAACAAGGGAGCTGCTGTGGCGACGGCAACGAATTGGTAATCTGCTTGACCACATATAATCTGATCTAAGGACTCTGCTGACTTGCCTAGGGTCACGAACTTCGTCATCGTGGAAATTACTCCTATTAGAATCCAGAATATCTGTTGGAAGTTCTGGATTGTCTGGACAGTGTTCAACGCCGCCTTTTTGCCAGCCATCTATTTCTTTTACCCAGAAACGGGTACGTTATCCTTGTTGTTATACTTTCTTCGAGGAAATACTTATCTCGAATCTGTTATAGCGAATCGTACCCTGGAAGATATAGACGCATACTAGCGTACGAATCCGTCGTTGATCGTCGTCAATGACCCGGATGCCCTCTCTGTCAAACTCCCGTTAAAGCACATCGAGCACGAAGACCATGAGGTGAGAAGATTGGGAAAGTCAGGACGAAGGCCGATAGTCTTATGGTAGAACATGTGGAATAAGTAAGATAGTGTGAATTTTGGTTGTAACGTTCAAGATGGGTGGGCAGGTGAATTAAACCTGACATGTACGATGGTGTGATATATTTTGAGATATATTTTTGCAAGCGAATTGTTTGTTATTCAAATCCTCAATCATAGCTACGCTGTACAAGAAAAGCAGTACAGCCAAACACTAGACGAGTTATCTTGAAACAGTGAACCTGTCTTTATTCGCTTTGATTTAACCTCTATGCCCTTGCAGTAATCTCATCTCAGGGGGCTTGGCTCCACATCTCAGGACGAGCCGCACAAGGCCTACGGAAGTTGATTCCGCGATACTATCCCAATCGTGGTTTCCATTATCTTCTACTGTTGTCCAGGGCTTTCGGAGTTACGGGCTAGCTAATGCTGTGGGTCAACTCCTCGAGATATATGTCTCATCTTACAATTGACTAAGAGGTTTTGGGAACCTTCTTTTTACTCCTAATATCCAATATAGTGAAGATTTAGTGTTTGCAGTATTGTCTACAACAATGTGAGTAACTTAACGCCTAGATAAGCTTGATCCGACGCGTGATGATGCTGAAAAACGCTCACACTGGCGTAGATACTAGTACTACCTAAAACTAGCTGTACAGACTTCGCTGGCTGCTAGTCGGATTCTGTCACTCCGAGAGAAAACAAGAAAAAAAAATAAAAATAAAAGAAAAGCTTCACAGTGATGTCTTCAATTAATAATTGATTATCCTAAGAATCCGTTTTCAAGGCATAAGCAAGCCAGGTGTGGGGCGGTCCGTGCAAATTAAATCCATGCAAAGGCCCACTTCAGTCGTCCATCCAATTTAGAATAACATCCTAGTGGAAAGATAGTCAGGCACCATAGCAAAATCTTTCTGAGACTTCCTTTCGCTTAGTTCACCAGAGGAGGGTGGACTTGCTACAAGTAGTCAAGATGAAAGCACTGAGAAAAAAAAAGAGTGCTATCAAAGAAAGACAATAAAGTTGAACAAGTGACGATATTCCGAGTTAGGGCTTTAGAGTTTGCCATTCGATTTGCCACATCGCGCCTATGACGGAAGATCTTCGGCAGTACCATGAATTTAACTGAGAGATTTATGGCTATTGTGAGGGAGAGGAGGAAGACCACACTGGAAAGGGATAATTCTTCTACAATCTACTGTGTAGAGAGGGTTACGACCCTAGAATGGTAGGTGGATTAATATAGAAACAATGCCCTAGCTCAACGAGCGATCAATGCCCTTCATACTACGTAGTAGTAGCAATTGTTAGATAGCCTTAGCAAACGTAAAAAGAAAAGGGGCGGAAAAGTGGAAATGCAACCAGATGGGCTGATTTTCGAGAAAGGTTCTACTTCAAAGCCAATCGCGGATGTACTACGTAGTAGTTCGTCATAGATCACCGTTCGTATAAAAGAGCCAACCGGAAGCTCATGTTATTCCAGTGGTCGATGGTAAGGTTAACTACAATTTTCACGAATAGGCTCCGGAGTGTGGTTGTTCTGTAAATGAGGTTCCCTGGATGTACCGAGTCGAATATTGAAAAGCAACTGCGTTGAGTTAGCAGATGGGTCGAGAACGTTGCATTAGTCGTGCTCCACCCCAAGGCATCGTGGAGCTATACCCGTGGGTCTTCCACCGCTTTAGCCTTTCACAGAGCTTCAAACTCTTCACCGGCCCCAAGAATGGATTTGCCATCGAAGTGGCCCAGGGTTCCGTACGGAGTACTCCATAATGACGAAATACTCGGTCGGCTCTCATGCTTTTTGTCTCTTCGGCATGCCGAAACGGAACTCTCGGAGGTACAGTCTAGGAAAGCCCCGAATTAACTTTCTCATCTGAACGAGTTTTCAGCTCTTCAAATGTAGACTTCGGCGGTTCAGTTTCCTGTTCCTTCTTCGATTCCCCTTTCATGAGACGGTCAGATTGGTTCGAAATCCACTGACGCCAGCGCCTTTCTGTTGACTGTCTCTTACAATGGCCGATCAACCCGCCAACAACGCCCCCCACAGTCAGTCCAGTAATTCTTTTCTGGACAGGTTAGGACCCTAATATCCGTTGTGTGTTTTATTACGGTCGGGCTAACACCGTCCTAGGCTGAAGGGCTTCTTCGGCTTTGATAATGATGTCGACTCCGATGAACTGCGTAGCAGCAAGGACATCGAAATCCACACTTGGAACGGTCCAAATGATCCTGAGAACCCGTATGTTATCATGCTATCTCTTATGATGGTTGTATTCGTACTTACTGATCCTTCTTAGGTTCAACTGGAGTCTCAAGTACAAATGGCTCCTAACAGTCACCGTCTGCTTCATGTGAGACTTCTATCGCTTTTCTCTTTGGTTGGATCAGCGCTGACCACTTCTCAAACAGCTCCATATTGACTGGACTTCCGGCAGGAACGTATGGCTCTGGAAATGACTGGATGGAAGAGAAGTTCCATGTTCAGAATTCACCCTTTCCCAACCTCTACTGGGCAACGACGTCCTGGAATATGGGCGCTGCCTTCTGGCCGTTGATCTTTGTGCCTCTCACTGAGTCTTCCGGCCGTATGCCTGGGTACTTTGTGGCCTATGTAATTCTGGTGATTTCACTATTCCCATCGGCATTCGCGAATAACTTCGCTACGCTGGTAGTCACCCGTTTCTTTGGTGGCGGAGCCTCGTCGGTCTCCATTAACATTGTTGGAGGAAGCATTAGTGACGTTTGGTTGGGCGAGAAGGCTCGTAGTCTGCCTATGTCATTGTTTGGCTTCACCAGTGTTGTAGGTATTGCGCTGGGCCCGTTCATCGGTTCGGCCATTGTGCAAATTCACAAGTCTGACCCCTGGCGTTGGTAAGCTATCCCATCGCTTTCATGTATCAAACTCCTATCTCTGACTGTGCATGTCTTGCAGGATTTTCTACATTCAGATCATCTATAATGCCGCGCTCATCCCCGTATTCTACCTGATCCTCAGCGAAACCCGCCCGGATGTGATCTTGAAGAAACGGGCCCGAAAGATCCGGAAGGAAACCGGTCGGCCTGTCTACGCCCAGGCAGAGCTCAACAAAGTCAGCACTCTCAAGCTTCTGCAGATCTCCTTTCAACGTCCTACACGCATGCTTTTGACTGAGCCTGTGGTGATCTTTTTTACACTTTGGATCAGTTTTGCCTGGGGTATCTTGTATCTATTCTTCTCCAGTGTTGTCCAAACTTACAGCACCAACTATGGCTGGGGTGTTATGGCTACTGGTCTCGTACAACTCGCCATCTCCGTGGGTGCGGTCATTGGTACAGCCATCAACCCGCTTCAGGACTGGATCTATCTGGGCTCAGCCAAGCGCAACTCCGAAAAGCCGGGAAAGCCCATTCCCGAGGCTCGTCTTTACACCGCTATTCCTGGCAGCTTGCTCTTCGCAGCTGGTCTGTTCTGGTATGGTTGGGCCAGTATGCCCGATGTGCATTGGATTGTGCCCACCATCGGTATCACAGCTGCCGGTATCGGTATCTACTCCATCTACATGGCTGTGGTCAACTACCTGACCGACGCGTATGAGAAATACGCCGCGTCGGCTCTCTCAGCTGCTTCGTTGGGGCGTAACTCGTTCGGTGCTTTCTTACCCCTGGCTTCGCCTCAGCTGTTCTCCAATCTCGGCTTTGGATGGGCCGGTTCGTTGTTGGGCTTTATCGGTATCGCGCTTTCGGTTGTCCCTGTTGTTTTAGTGCTGAAGGGTCCTCAGATCCGTCATCGTAGCCCTTTCATGCGTGAATCTATGTGGACTTCAGATGAGGTTGATGAGAAGGATGAGCCTAGTGCAGAGAAGGTGCCAACTGCGGAGATTCCTTAAATAGGGGTTCATGTTTCTTCTTAATGCCGGTAACAGGCGGCTTTCTGGTTTCAGCCTTTTCCAAGGTACTTTATATCACTCTTAATTGAGTTGAGTGTACATATTATGTCCGATTACATATTAATCCGGAAGGACTACACGCTACGTATGGATACATATAGGAAAGAATTTCTAGCGTGCAGAAGGGCACAAATTCGTGTTCAGATTACTAAATTACTCCTGAACTTACTGTGGGAAACGTAATCAATTGTTGTTTTCAATAGTCAAGTGAACGATTTCTCTATGCTACTAGACACCAAATCTCGATCCAGGCTTGATATACTGCTCCATTTCTCAGCAGTGTCGCTGTCCATGAGTCAATTTGCTGGTTCCATGAAGTGATTGAGCCTTGGATCCTTATTATTGGACTTTCTTGACAATCCATTCTGCCGAAAGCTTCATTCCATGGAAGTGTCTAACTACCTAACCTTTGGGTACGCATCCGTTTTTGGAGAGGTCTAATTTTACCAACAACTGACTTTTCAGTCGGCAGGGAGAAGAAAACGTTTTATACATCGTGCAGCCTTCATACAAATGGAATATGCTGGGTTTCCAAGTGCCATGGACAAGGGGAATCTTGGGTGTAGAACGGTGTTGCGACTGTTTGTTGTTAGAATTTCGTAGCCCGAACAATCTCCCTTGTCCATAATACTTGGAAACCTATCATATTCCATCTAGGGGGTGAATCAACAAGAGCGAAGATAGGGAATTCTGGAATTACACATTGGAATGAAACATCAAATCAACGAGCTGGGCTGTCAGGGGTTTCTGCCTCGCACATCTCATAGTAAGTGTTGATCATTCAACCACTGAGTCACAATAGCCTCATATTTCTAATTTCTGGGAATAGACATTAGGTAGCAACATTCATGTGTGTGAAAGTTGTCCTCACTATCTGTTATGTTTCAAGTGTATCTATTTCAATAAGGCGTTACACCCTCAGCACGACTTCGACTGGGTATTCTATGATGATGAAGAAATGTCGATGATGACTATCCTGATAAAGATTATATGGAATAAATTCTCCAAGGTATCAACTGGAGTGATTTAAGTGACACCGAGGATGACGATGGTGCCGAACATGATGCTGATGCTCCGAATAGCGAGTGCGAACTTGGAGGTGTCGAGGACAACAAGTACTTTCCAACGATGGCGACCAAGAGAGAGATAGCTAGCAGGGCGCCGCGAACAAAATGGGTAATAAATCAGCTTACAGGCAGGCGATTGAACTATTCGCTATTTTAGGGCCCATACATTCAATACTGAGTACAACATTCCAATGCTAGTGACTAACGAAAGGACACCCATTTGATACTATGTATCACCGACTATAGCACCCTCGCAATCAATTGAAATATAGTATTTTGGGGATGTTTCCAGTTACCATTGACATACTTGACGCTGAACAGCTCCCGGTACATGCTGTTAATGTTTGTTAAGACTGCCATACGCCCTCATGGCCCCGAAATGAAAGCTCTTAGTCCAGATATAGATACTCGTCCCTAAATTTGGTAGAAATGAAGCCTAAACTGAGCACTTAAAGGGCCACTGATAGTAGGGCTAACATACAAGGCACCAAGGAAATATGCTAAGGCAGTGGTAACGCGCGGGTATCATACATCGTAGTGACGGTTCATGTCCTCCCCAACAGGGCGTGACTCCAAGGTAGCCTCGCAACTTGTAGGGTCCAGATGTTCTTTCCAGTAAGTTGGGTCTAATCACTTACCCTATCACCACTGCCCATTCAGGGTAGTAAGGCTGTACATGTAGTGCACAGTTAACATGTTGTCAAGGAGAGAGGCCTAATCTATGAGCTGCCAGTGCTGAGACACCTAGATATATACATGAAGGACCTACATAAATTTGTAAGTAGTGGTATTGCTCAGAGCAACGATATATCTATACCACATTGGACCTCGCTAGACCGAATACATTTTGAATGATCAAGACAGTATTTCCATAGCAAGGTACACAACCAGCATACAAGATCACTCAATAAATACAGCACCACCAACCAATCAGAATACAGATCACTATAATACCCTAAATGCATGTTGTTAGGGTTGATAGTTCTCTAAACGTCTCTCCACTTGGCATGTTACCACTAAATGCCCACTCAGGAAAAGCTCTTGTATATAAGAAACCTCGCCTATGGCACCTATTTACGGTAGGTCGGGCCTCACTAAGCACCACTGGTCTCTTAGCCCGTCAGCTCGTCGGGACCCATCCTGCATAATCCCACCGACCTCGACTGGAAGAGGGAGATGCGTCCAAACGTTCCCATGTCCGAATGTAATTCCTGGGGGGGAGTAAATTTGTATAAGGCTCCTATACAAAGTGGGCCCATTTTATTTCCGCACTTTTCTGTCAAGTGTGATTGAGGATGCCATAGTTCTTCGGAGTTTGTCGATGTTTTTACTCCCATGTCAGATAGGAGGAAGGGTGATTGGCAACAGGAAATAAAATATATATGCCCTGTAAGGCTTCCTTTGATTATCATTCATTACTATTCATTATTATTGTTGTCATGGTTGCCCATATACCGACCATCAAAACTATTACCTAGTTAAGGAACGTCCGTTACATCGACACCTCTCTGGAAAAGACTACATGATGGCGTCCCTTCCCGTAACCCTAGCTTGGCGATGCAAATCAGTTTACTTGCTATGATCAAAATTCTATTGGTTATGGCTGAAGTACAGTGGAAGACTTGGGGAATCATTGGATTTTATTCACATTAATTGATACTGTGTACATCATCCTTTCCAGGGTTTCTACAGGTCAGGTGTACTGCTAGGACTAGTATGGTAGAGTGGGGTCAGTCCCCACGATTATTGGTGGGCCCGAACACGGCGTACCGCTTTTGCGACCCTCGTTATCACCCTCCATCTTTCATCATCATCATCATCTGTCATCATCTTCAACTTTCGATTTCATCCAATATTTCATCATCTAACTGTCGGTCTTTCGCTTCCTATTTCTTTCACTTATCTTACTGGACTTTTTCTGGTCTAAAATTCGGTTACTCCCTTCTTCATCTCAGCCAGTAGCTGATACGATAGGAGTTCACAGCGATGGTTGTCTCGTCCCTTGTTCGCCGAGGCATGGAGCTTGCCTCCGACATGCCCATGAACTCCAAAAATCCTGAAGTGCCTTCTATTCATCTCTCAGGGTGGCTGGCTGGCCTTTTTGTCTTCTCTGTCCTAGCTTTCTTTTTTGTTGTCTTCTCGGTAAGGTCACTATTCTTTATCATGTTTCTACATTAGCGTGTTGTGCTCCTGGAGATGTCCTACGGTTGCTAATCCCACCTCTAGATCGAATACACCTACGGAATGGTGGTTGCGGCCCTCGCCGCCGTCGAGGAAACTAACCCCGATATCTATATCCGCGTCAAGACCGATGTCAACCCCAACAAGGATGTGGACCTGGCTGAGCCCGAGGTAGACACTCGTCGCCGTCAGCCTATCACCAGTAACTTGCGCACCACCATTAAACATCTCCGTTCCCGTGCCGGCTTCTGGTCTCGTTTCCGCGGTTTTGGTCTGTTCTTCACATACTCTCTGGCCGAGGGGTTCCTATTCTCGATTCTACCTATGTCCATAACCAACTTTGCCGGGCAACTGGTCGCCAGGATGATTATCGGCATAGCCCTGGCCAACTTGGAGCTGACCTGGGTGCATATTGTGATATCCGAACCCTCCTCCAAGCGCTTCTACCAGCGCATTCCCGGTTTCAAGAGCTGGCTGAAGATTGCTCCTGTCGTTGCCTTTGAGCAAGGCGTTGTCTGTGCCGCGTTCTACATTCCTCTACTTATTGCCGGAGCTGCTGGGGCTCTAAGCGACTTGGTTGTTGATCCCAACGCTAACATCCCACCGGCTGAGCTTGTGAGCCGCGCTGCCACGGCCATCGCCATCCCATCCCTGCTTGCCGGCCTCGTATCTATCCCCGCGCGGGCTGTTACAATCCGTGTTGCGGCCTCCATGCTCCCAAAGGAGGATGAAGCGATCATACCCTTTGATCGATCCTTCGGTGGAAAGGTGGTTCCTGCCACTCTGGGCGGCAGCGGTAAGCTCAGCATTAAAGATGCATGGGCGAGCTTTGATGGAGCTGCTCGCATTCGCTACGTGAAAGTGATCGGTAAGGCATTTGCCATGGAGTTTGCCGCGATTATCCTCTTTTCATTTGTACTTGGATGCCAAGTCCACGCGGGGGCATTGACGTACGGTGTCCGGCGTAGCGAGGTCAGCGCTTAGCTGTTCCGTATACCATAACGTACATGAAATTTTGTTTAATTTTTCTATCCTTCTTCTATTATTATCACCTCTTTCTTTTTCTCCTTTTGTTTAGTTACACAACTTTGGACATCACTTTTCTCGTCGTTGTGTCATAGTAGGTTACTCATCCACTACGCATCGGCCCGAGTGACATTAAAGCCGGAAAAGTTTCGTTTCGGTTGTCCTTTTGACCTCTCCAATTGTGTTGATACATGCGCTTTGTAGCCCCTTGGTTAGTAATTACGCCAAAGACATACTTGTTCTTCTTGCATCCGGAATGCTCTGTTGAATCTATTCTACATTATGCATAAGACCGCCGATTACGTAGCTGTTCCATGAGTTTAATATTAGTACTGTTACATGTCCTCCTTGGGTGCCTGAAAATTAACTCCGTCGATGCCTGACTAAGGCCATCAAACTGGCCAATAGCCCCGCCCCGCACCCGACCAAACACACCGCCTTCAGTGGCCATCCTTTCACCACCTCTCTCGTCACTGTTAATCTTTTCTCCCTTTCCTCCTCCTGGGTACCTTTGGAGAGTCCTCCTCTTGTTGAACCGCTATATCAACTGTATGCGATCCTAGGGTCTCGTCAGGCGCCCTATCCCCTTCATCCCGTTCCTCTTTCTCGCCCCGCGCTACCACTCCCGAGACCAGAGTTCCACTATGGCTACATCACCAGCAGGTCGCATGTTGTTGGGGCAGCTGCAACAGATGCAGTCTGCTAAGGACCTTCCCGGCATTAGCTGTGGGCTCGTCGATAATAACGTGTTTGAGTGGGAGGTCATGCTCATGATCTCAGACGATGTCAAGTTGTACGGCGGTAAGTTACATGCTAGTGATTTCCGAAAAGATTCAATAACCCGGCAGTATATATAAATATATATCCTTGGATACTTACTGATTGCCTTTGATTTTTCTTTTTTAACAGGCGGCTTCTTTCGTGCTCGACTCTCCTTTCCTCCCGAATACCCACATATGCCACCGAAGATGAAGTTTGAATCGCCACTGTTCCACCCAAACAGTATGCATCTTCTCCCCTCTTTCCCCGCTTTGCCTTATCTATCCCGAGCCAGATTCTGATGATCCATAGTTTACCCCAACGGCGATGTCTGCATTTCCATTTTGCACCCACCCGAGGAAGATAAGTACGGTTATGAGTCTGCTGCAGAGCGCTGGTCCCCCGTCCAGACCCCGGAGACAATCCTGCTATCCGTGATCTCCATGCTCTCGAGTCCGAATGATGAAAGCCCCGCCAACGTTGAAGCTGCCCGCCTATGGAGAGAAGACCCTAAAGAGTTCAAGAAGAGGGTCCGCAAGTGTGTCCGAGACAGTTTGGGCGAGGAATAAAGTGCTCCTGATGCACAATGAGATTATGCGTGACTGATGTTGTTGGCGCTGGAACATATTGTCCTTTTTTTCTTTTCTTTTTTTCCCCTTCGCATGATAGACTACATAGTCTATCGAGTAGCGCCAGCTCTTTGTCTCCGCGACATTCTTATTTTCCCTTTATCTAAGTTCTCTGTCTCCCCTGGAGTTACGTGATGTCGGCCCGGAGTTGAAATTTGGACTTGTTCACTTTGCATTGCCGTTGTTTCATATTTACCCGGCTATACTGCAGCGTAGCGCTGTCAGCATATGTTCAGTTTTCTGAACGAGATGAATATATCTATCTGCATCTATCTTAAATGTTTGTTTCTGTTGTCATACATGGGGTATCTTTAGTCGTATATGATGAGTATATCAGGCGGCTTCCACGTTCTTGGGACCCTTCCTTAATGATGGGAGGAAGAGCCCAGGATGAAAAACCGTCAGGGCCAAAACCGCCAAGGCAACCATCCTGTTGAGATTAGCAATCTGCATGGTTGGGAGAAGTCCACGGGGATACTCACATTCCATCCAGAACCAGAAACTCGTCCTCCTTTTGCATCAAGGGATTTCCCCATCCACCTGCCATCTCCGGGATACTGCACATCACGTCAGTTAAAGTAATCCCCGTCGTCCCTGAAAAAGACTTACCGATAGATACACCGAATCAGAACGGTAAAGTAGGCAAAGATATCTGCGATAACCACCAGCTTGATATTGTTCCGTCCATTTGTACCGTCCAGTACCTTCTCTCCCGAGCCACGCCGAAGGTAACGGATGAAAAAGTCCAGTGCTAACAGTCCACAAACGGACATGGTCGCGACCTGGAACGCAATACCTGTGATGATAATATCATTTCCCGCATTGAGAAGATCCCGTTGATCACTCCCAGCTGCTGCTGCCACACCACCACCGGCAGCTTGCAAAATCAGAGACCCGATATCACAACCGATGAAAATCCAGGTGAACAATTTCGGTTTGAGGCGCGAGTGTTCCGGTCCCAGCGAAAGGATGATATGTTTCAGGGTGAGGTAGATGCCCGCAGCGATGAATGTTGGCCCTAGGATAATCGCCACAATTTGCAACTTAAATGCGCCGCTGTCCCAAGGGTTCTTATTCATCAGTACACGACCGATATAGCCCGCCATCTCGAGAAGTGTGCCGACCACCAGTGCCACCATCAGCGTCCACGAGCGGAAGTAAATGCCGAACCCGAGTTGAAATATGCCACAGACGCCATAGAAGACCGTGAAGAAGATGTTACCACCATAGTTGGGATAGTAACCGTATGTTGTAGCTTCGACGGGGCACAACGGCGTGACTTCTGTACAGGTTTGGTAGCTGGCCATTTTGATCAGGGTTTAAAAATTATTATCTGTATATATAAGAAGAGTAAAGAAAAAGAGCCGGGAAAAGAACGACAGGCGCTAGAAACGAAAGAATATATGAACGGATTAAAGTGTCGTCTGGTCTACTAAGACAAAGAATCAGGGAGAGAAGAGACCGTTGAGACAACTCCATGGCCGACGCCTCGTATATATTTGATGTAATATTTTAGAGTCCCGTTTCTTTTCCCCGATTGCCATGACTTGAGTGGATCCTATCGGCAAATTCCTGCTTCCCGTAAGGAGAATAATGTGCTTTGGAATGTCTGATTGGCTCGCATTCGCTCTCGCTCTCGCATTCGTTTTCGCAGACCCACTCTGTCTTCTAAATTTTGATCGCGGGCCCTAACTGATTCGTTGATCCGTAAGCTCGATGGCTATGTTGCTCAAAGGAACACCGAGAGTTGACACCAGGCTGACACATTTGCTTATCTTTGTAAGCCATGCTTATTGCCCAAGACCTCAGATAAACCTCTATACACACGTAGTGAGGTCACAATCCAAGGAGAGAAGGGAGATGTACTGTATGTACAGTATACAGAGTACGTAGTGCATCCTGAACGAGACAATGCACTATGGAGTAGCGGCCGCAGTGGGGAGCCAAGACCCCGCTGCGTCATGGCCTCATTTGGGCTTTGAATGAACAGTATCCTCTCAGAAAAGGAGGACAACAGACTTTATCCTCATCAAGATTTAATACCCAACTGCTCTGGCCGGAGCCACGTGACATCATTTGACTCCCACGGACATTTTCCCCACGTGTCTCCACGTGTTCATCCACGTGGTTCCCAGTCACAGGAAATCTCCTACTACTAGTAGTGTCCAATGTGCTTCATTCTCTTGTGGATCGACCATGCCACGAAGGGCCCATACGAAATCGCGCAATGGCTGTGATCAGTGCAAGAAGAGGAGAGTCAAGGTAGGTAATTTTCTCGGCTGATCCACCCACGTACCCAATCCTACCGCGATCTTTAACGGAACATGCTTCCCACTCCTCCCCGGTGCTTTCCTCAATCTATATCCAATCATATCTCCACTATGATTAGCTAAAGAAACTTAAGCTCCAATTGGTCTTCTTTTTTATCATATATATGCCCTCTCCTCCTAACATCAGATAGTGCGACGAAAAGGGCCCGCCATGTTCAAATTGCGTCACCAGAGAACTTCGCTGCACTTACTTGAACACTCCCGCAGCACGCAGCATAGCCAGTTCTTCATCTGCAAGTCCAAACTCCATACATCCCGGACAGGGCCAGACCTCGGATGGAGCCGGTCATCCCTTTGCTGGCGCAGCCACTAATGTTCCATTTGCCTATTCTCGCAAGCGGGAATTAGAGCTGATACATAAATTCTCCACTGATACATATCAGAGCTTTTGCAATAAAGAATCAGACCACTATGTATGGCAGATTGTCATGCCACGCAAAGCTCTAGAGCATGACTTTCTCATGAGTGGAATCCTAGCAGTAGCCTCCCTGCATATGGCCTCGGCTTTAGAACCACCAGAAGCTTTGTCATATATTGATACGGCCCTGGAATACCATAACCAAGGGCTTGCACCCTTCCGACACGCAATTACCAATCTAACCCCACTCAACTGTGACGCTGTATTTGCCCATTCTGTCATCACCATCATGATCTGCATCGCTCTTCCCCGTTTACCAGGCTCCAGGGGTGAAAACTCTAGCATGACCGAGAACCTCATATTTGTATTTGAGTTACTAAAAGGCGTCGCCAAGATTTTCGCTATCACGCGGTCCTGGCTGGAGAATAATTTATTTGCTTCAAAGAACGGCTTCTTTGAGAAATCTGGAACCCCGCTGGATGCTGGAACTGAGGCTGCTTTAACCCGTCTAGCCGATCTAAACGATACACTCCTGTCCAACATCGAGCCAGACCAACACAGCATCATCAAAGATGCCATCTCTCATCTTCGTCGCTGCTTTGCACGCTACGATCATGAACAGGATGCAGCGTCCGTCTTGTCTTGGCTTGCTGGCGTCGATAAGGAGTTTGTTCATGTCGTTTGTCGTCGCCAGCCGCTTGCTTTGCTTGTTCTCATGCATTGGGGTGTTTTACTCGCTGAGCTTGATGGAAAGACATGGTGGGCTCGGAAGTCCGGCTCCGCCCTCGTTTTCGAGATATTGGGTGCACTGCAGGCGGGTGATGCCCGGTGGGAGGAGGCGGTGTTATGGCCGAAACAGAAACTGGGTCTTTAAGGGGGGCCGCCAGGTACGGGTCAAAAGCTATTTCTCCTTTCTTGGAATGGGTAGCAGTGCTCATTTTGGCGGAATATCCCATGGCAACTGCATTGATAGCAAAAACACACTTCACCTGGTAGAATCTCTCGAGTTTGTTCCTTCGCAGCTGGATTACATACAGAGAGCCCCATTCTTCTCGTCACCAGAGGGCTTCTTGAACTAAACCACGAGGCTGAAACTCCACCCCATGCCAGAACAGAGATCCACAATGATCTATAAACCATGGATTAGCTGACACTAGTCGCCATTCATTGAATATCCAGGAGTGATTACAATCAAAGGCTGGCCTGCAATGACGCGAGACTGATGCACATATCGGCAGCATTAGCAATTGCTGGCTCCGTATTACCTATATATGAGCCTATTTTGGTGCCTGAACCTATTTCAAGTTCGTTCTAAGCTGTTCATCTCCCTTGGTTCCATGTGTCTGGATATTGAACGACGCATGATGTAGAGGTCACGGTTATATGGACACCTTATCTTAACGGCCATATTGGGTGGATGAGCTCCGGTCGATTTTGTCCCTTTTTACGGTCCTCTCAGAGTCGAGACTAACAAGCAAAAGAGACTGCAGGGAAGCAGAGGCAATGGGAAAATAATTATCATTTTGATGAAACCAAGACAGGAAAATGCCGGCCTGCGGTGTGTGATGCGCATAATTCTAAGTTGCTCTGAATTGGATCCGATGTGTAAAGCTTGAATTAAAGCGGAGATTGAGCGAGCCGTAACCTTTGAAGGTATAATACCTATTGCGTGATGGTTAGAGCCTTTCCTCTATAGCCCAAATGCACGAGGATTCCTTCTCAGGCTCATGTCCGCTAAGGGATGTTCGAGGCGAGGCGGTGGGGAGAGTCCTGGAAGCTTAGCCTTTAGGGTTGAAGATCCGCCTCCGCGTCCCGGTTAATCTTAACCGTAGCGGACACCTGCTCTCTTGGCAGTGGGGGAAGTGCTGCGGAGGTGATGCGATGATAAGGAACTCTCAACGTATTTAAACACCTTCGTCTGACACATTTCATCTCAAAACAGACACACATCTGAACTCTTTGACACAGAGCAAATACCACGTTTGGACAACTTGTTTTATACATAGTCCCCTTTGCCACGTTGAATATTTGAATTCAAGCACAATGACTCTGACAATGCATCCATTCGATCCTCTGACACCCAGAGAGATCTCCAAGGTAGGCTTTTCCTATTCCCTAGATGATCATTGTTGACCGAGAGCAGGCCGCAGACATCACACGCTCTACATTGCCTGGAAAGAACCCCATCTTTCGTGTGATAACACTAAGGGAACCCCCAAAGCTGGACATGATTCCCTTTCTAGAAAAGGAACACTCTCTGCAGCCACTAGATGCACGTCCAACTCGGGTAGCTCGCGTACAGGTGGTTATTCGCAGCGAATCTAAGAACAGACTAATTGAGCTGCTGATCGATCTTGACCATGGGGCCGTTATCAAACAAGAACATCTCGCAGGAAAGCATTCTTATATTGACTCTGAATACATGAAGTTAGTTGAGCAAGCCTGCTTGGCCGATGCAAGAATCCAAGAGGAGATCAAAAAGCTCAGGCTGCCCACAGGAGCAACAGTCATTGTCGAACCTTGGGCGTACGCTACAGATGGTATGAATGACATGTCCGAGCGTTTAACAATGGTGAATATACTTCCTTTGTATTTAATGCCTGACTTAAAGCTTTGAGAACTAACAACTCCATGTTACAGTGTTGGTTCTATATGCGCTTGCTTGACAATCCTGATGCCAACTACTACGCCTACCCGCTGGATCTATGCGCAGAAGTCTCCGAACAGCTTCAGGTGACCAAGATATACCAGCTTCCGTCATCGTCAGACGAGCGTATCCACGACCACCCACAGCCATATGACCAGCGCAAGATTCATTCTACCGAGGCAAGCGAATACCACCCAAGCCTGCGACCACCACCGCGCAAAACCACCAAACCATACCAGGTGGTCCAGCCAGAAGGTCCCTCATTCAACGTCGAGGGTAACGTTGTGACCTGGGAGAAATGGCGCATGCATGTAGGGTTCAACTACCGCGAAGGCTTGACCCTGCATGATATCCGCTATGACGGCCGTAGTCTCTTCTACCGTCTATCTCTAGCCGAAATGTTCGTACCTTACGGAGACCCCCGCGCTCCATATCCTCGCAAGGCAGCCTTCGATCTAGGAAACGACGGTGCCGGCATCAACGCCAACAACTTGCGTCTAGGCTGTGACTGCTTAGGCTTAATCAAATATTTCGACGGCTGGCACAACACCAACTCAGGAGAACCACTGAAACTCCCTAACGTCATCTGCTGCCACGAACAAGACGATGGGATCCTCTGGAAACACACCAACTTCCGCACCCAGAACGCAGTAGTCACCCGCGCCCGCGTCTTAGTCCTCCAAACCATCATCACAGTCAGCAACTACGAATATATCTTCGCCTTCTACTTCGGCCAAGATGCCTCAATCCACTACGAAGTCCGTGCCACAGGCATCCTCTCCACCTGCCCCATCAACATCGCCGACAAAGTCCCCTACGGCACCATCGTCGCCCCAGGCGTCCTAGCCCCGTACCACCAACACCTCTTCTGCCTTCGCATCGACCCTGCCCTAGACGGTCATTCCAACTCCCTCCAAGTCGAAGAATCAATCCCCATGCCCCTAACCGACCCCGCAACCCCCAATCCCTTCGGGATCGGCTACACAACAGCCCACCAAACAATCGAACACGAATCAGGCCACGACCTCGACTTCACAAAAAACCGCACCTTCAAAATCATCAACGAACACTCCATAAACCCAATCACAGGTACCCCAATCGCCTTCAAACTCCTCCCCTGCTACTCCCAAATGCTCCTCGCGGACCCGACCTCCTACCACGCTAAACGATCCGAGTTCGCCTCCCACGCCGTCTGGGTCACCCGCTACCACGACGATGAACTTTTCCCTGCAGGCAGACATACCATGCAATCTGCCGGCGGCGAGGGAATTGCATCTGCCATTGAATCCCGCCGTGGGCAGTCTAGTTCAGACTCGAGTGTCCGTAATCAGGATATCGTGGTCTGGCATACCTTCGGGTCTACCCATAACCCCCGCATTGAGGACTGGCCTGTCATGCCTGTGGATAAGATGGTGGTTGGTTTGAAGCCAGTTAACTTCTTTACGGGGAACCCGGCGTTGGATGTGGCTGTTTCAACGCAGGAGCGGAATAAGAGTGTTCTTTTTGAGGAGGGTGGGAAGGCTTCGGGCAGGGGGGCTCGGTCTTGTAAAATGTAGATTCTTCTATCTTTTTTGTGTGGCGGGTGCGTCGAGTGTGTATTTTGTGGGGTGGTTTTGGTGAATTAGATAAATGGTTATTGTGCTTTATTGTGATACTTCGATCGGTTTTTGTTTTGACCTGGTTTCCCGGTTTGGCTTTGTTCGAGTTCTCGGGTATGACTGGGGATTTATATCGGTTTCAGGTACGAGGGATCTTTATTATTGGTATGCCCGAGTATATCAAGGGGCTTTGGGCAATTCACGATATAACCTCAGAAACCGTAATGCATCAACAGCTTCATTGCAAATATACATCCAACTATAGTGTCATGATATGTACTACGTAACATCAGTCAAGACAATAGAAGAACGAATCCAACTGCCACGGTCTATGGTGGGACTAAGAGCTCTTGTTCCCTCCGCCTCCGCACCAGCATCGTCCGTCACCTTCCCGCTCTACTTGGACCAAGATATCCATGCCCTTTTCTCGGAGGAAATCGACGGTCCGTTGGCGCACGTCTTCGAGGTCGGAGCCGCGGGACGCGATTACATGGATTACGCCCAGAACATTGGAGTTGGACTTTTCGTGTGCGTGGTCATGGTCATGGGAGTGAGAGTGGGAGTGGGAGTGGGAGTGGGAGTGGGAGTGGGAGTGGGAGTGGGAGTGGGAGTGGGAGTGGGAGTGAGGGTGGGAGTGAGAATGGGAATGAGAATGGGAGTGCGAGTGGCTGTGGTTATGATTGTGGCCATGATCGTGATCGTGATGGCTATGGCTGTGGCTGTGGCTGTGACCGTGACCATGACTATGGCCATGGCTGCAGCCGTGATCGTGATCTAATTTTGCCGTATCGTCGAGCCAGAACTTGGGAACTGTGTACCCTACAACACCCCGTAAGGTGCTCACGCCAGCTAGCGCCTCACGGACATTATACTCGACGTCGGCCGGAAGGGTGAGGAGCAATTTCTTGGCCGTGCTGCTGACTAGCGGCACTGCAGACGCAAAAATCAAGACAGCAATCATGCAGGAGGCAATGGGGTCGTACCCCGACCAGCCAGAGTAGTGTACGAGAATCGTCGATATCACAACGGCGACGGAACCAAGGGTGTCAGCGAGAATGTGGAGAAAGATCCCGTGCATGTTCTCATTATCATGTGAATGATCATGGCCATGGTCATGTCCGTGATGTGCATGGTCAAACGCCATGATGCCCACAAGATTCACGGCAAGTCCGGCAGCACTGACCACCAAGAGCTCTCCGATACGGTGCATCTGACTGCCCGATGATAGCCTCTCTACCGCTTCGTAGATGATCTCGATACTGATGATCCTAGAGCCAAAAGTCAGCAATACAATCCGATAATGAGCGGGTGGCCACTCACATGAGGAAAATGCCATTAGCAAACCCAGACAGTGTGTCTACTTTGCCATATCCATAGGGAAATCTTGCACTGGGTGGCCATTTACTCATAACGGCGGCGCAGAGGCCAACAACAAGAGCGAGACAGTCAAAGAACATATGGATGCTATCACTGAGGAGTCCCAATGAACCTGTGATAAATCCGTAGGAGAGCTGAACGAGCATAAACGCAAAATTAAGACTAGCAACGTTAGTCATAGTGAAGTATACGAGAAACAGCGGTCTTACGTCATAAAATAGAAAATGCGACGAGAGTCACTCTCCTTCAGAATGCTGTACAGTAGTGGATATGGTTCACTATAGTGAATGATGAGCTTCGTGATGTGTGACGCATTATCGTTGGAGTGAGTGTGGTGATGATGATGATGATTATGGGCTTGCATCACCGAGCGCAACTGTCTATCCTCAAACCTAGAGGCGAGAACCGCGATCCCAGCAAGGATACCACGGAAAAGAAAAACCACATAAACACCATCGCGCGGTGGTGGTGCACATAGCAGGGCGGCGCCACCAGTTGCAATGGCAAGACCAATCTTGTGCGGCGAGCGTAAGTTTACCGGTGCCACATACATTAAGCATGCTGCAAAACCACCACCAGCTGCGAATACATACATCATATCCGGAAAATGGAAAGATAAGCCCCCGACAACAGCCGTGCCAACTGCTAGGAGCAACCCAAGAAAAGCAGTAAGCAAGGGGTCGCTGGGCGAAACATCAAATGATTCCGTTCTCGAATGTTTCTCCTGGGATACTGCTGGGTCATAGGCAGGGCCAAGTGTGAAGGCCAAGAAAGGCGGGCGAATGACAAAAACCGAGACAAGCAATGATACATAGCCCAAAAAGGGGTCTGCGTCCCAAGACGTATTCATTCCCAAAAAGCTCGACACGACCACAGTCACGACGATACCAATGGTCAGTTTCTTTTGACTCAGCCGTCCTTTGATGTCTTGAGGATCATAGCCTCGTGCAATTGCCGGTACCCCGGACGCTATTGCCAGAGCAAGTACAAATGCGACAAGGAATCCCCCCACCTTGAGCGCTGCATAGATAGGTAGTGCAATTGAGCACATTTGCACAAAGGAAGCGGTAACATTTTTCGGATGGAGTTTGGGTAATGCGACTAGTGAAGCACTTCTATCCAGTTGGGCTACTCGAAGTAGTTGCCCTCCTCCCAATACGATCATTGTTATGGCGGTCAAGATACATGTCCTCAACAGAATGTGATCTAAATGCCCTGTGTCTGAAGATGCGATATTTTCACCATCAGTTGCCGGTTGCGAATCCGTCCATTGTGCATGGTGTGTATAATACCACGAAATGGCAATCCATGGCATAGCCATTAGGGCTCCGGCGAACATTTCATGACTAAATGGCCGTTAACTAGCGATACCAACACAGGATACGGACGTACTCACGTCCTCAATAGCTCGGGGTTTGACAAAGTGATAGGCGTATCTGGTACCAGCCCCGTTACGCTACCAGAATGGCTATGTTTCGATGTGTGTGAGTGAAGACCATTGGCGTGGTCGGACTTGCCCCACGGTTCGCCATGACTTGAAGAGTGTGAGTGTGAATGTTGGTGTCCATGCCACGAGCTAGATGCATTCCCGTTAACGTATGTCGGTCCAGTCAATGGCTGCGACGGTTGTTGAGTGGAAGCAGCATCAGAGGCGGAATAGGAGATCGGCCCCTGCGACCAGCGTTTGGAGCGTGAATGACCACGACTAGGAGTGGGCTTATAATGTCCCTGTGTCGATAATGCGGAAGCAATTGTATCCACACTGGACACAGGAGCGCCCGTTGACATGGTCTCGGTGTGCGACACCTGATTCGCAGAGAAATCGGTTTAGCGACGATCAAGCAGACAGGAGGCGGAGAGGTCGAGGTTGAGGAGGAGAGCAATCAAGGACTGGGGGTGTTACGGGAGCTTTAGCAGCTCAAAAAAGATATCCAACCGGGCGATTGAGGCAAGGGACGCTGCATAGCGCCAGGGATAACAAGCAGACTTGATGCAGAAGCAAGCTTGGTGAACAATGGGAGTGGCAATTGGGGGGACCTCCAGATGCGATCTGCAGGCGATAACAACGGGCCACGTGATCGTGCTCCTCGGTTTGTTATCTCCGCACCTCCAGATCAAGAACTACTCTGTTATGATGAAAACAGAAAAGATAAAATTAAAATAAATCAACTACGTACTAGTACAATGTCCAGGCTCAACTGGAAGTGGGAACCTCAATCCAGTCATTATCCAATAAGAAACTGTGCTGCTGATCCCCAATCTGGTAATCAACTGCATTGCAGGTCCATAATCTCTTGCCCTTGCAGCATAGCCGCGCGGTTGATCTGATGGAGTGTGGGGGAAGAGGACCGGGCCATGTTTACTCCGTCTAGCAACCGATCGTCATCCTTTACAGGATCAGAGCTCCTGCTGATCTTCCAAACATCTCACCAGCATACAGTGAGAACCCTCCATGGTCTCAGGATAGTCAATTGACCTCTCTTGCGCATTATGGTTGATATTCAATTTGTCTAATTCCCCCCATCCTTTAACCGCTCACCATGATTGAGTCCTTCATCAGCTTCGCTTTCTACATCTCCACCGCAGTCACCTTCTTCATACTTCTACTACCCTCACAATATACGCCGAAACGCTCGACAGCACAGGATGCCTCTACTGATCCCAAAACAACCGTACAGATCCTCGTCCTCGGAGACATCGGTCGCAGTCCGCGCATGCAGTATCATGCGCTGAGCATTGCCAAAGGGGGGGGTCGAGTAGAAATCATTGGTTATCATGGTATGGAGGGATTCCCCTTCACTATCACCTACTTCGCAAACGTTCTAACCCTCACCCGTAGAGTCAGAAGTTCATCCCGATATCTCTTCCGATCCCAGAATCTCAATCGTTGCACTTCCCCCACACCCAGCCTGTCTTCAAACCAGCAACAAACTTCTTTTCCTAGTATTTGGTCCATTGAAGGTCCTCTTCCAGGTTGCATGTTTGTGGTGGTCATTAGCATATCGCACACGACCAGTGAAGTGGCTCCTTGTTCAGGTTGGTCCTCGACGTCGCATAACTTCCAACGCAACCCACGCTCACCAGCGGCTCATATCGCATAGAACCCTCCATCTATTCCAACTCTAGCGGTCGCATCCCTAACCTGCTTTCTTCGTCAAACGAACCTTATAATCGATTGGCATAATTTCGGCTACTCCATCCTAGCGCTAAAGCTTGGAGATGGTCATCCTTTGGTCAAACTGTCGAAATGGTATGAGAGGTTTTTTGGAAGATACGCCACGGCACATTTGTGCGTCACAACAGTCATGGCGTCTGTCCTGAAGAAAGAGTTCCTACTGGAGGCACCTATCCTACCGCTGCATGATCGACCAGCCAACCATTTCCGACCTATACTCGATGATAACGTTCGACAGGAGTTTCTCTCATCCTTGCCGGCAGCTGCTTCCGTACGATCATTGATCAAGTCCGGGCCCCTTCGTGTTCTAGTCAGTTCAACGTCATGGACTGCGGACGAGGACTTTTCGTTGCTTATCGATGCCCTCTGTCGATACTCGGAGTTAGCAGCGACGACCATGCCGGAACTGCCCCAGGTGCTAGCCATCATAACGGGCAAGGGCCCACAGAAGGAAATGTATATCAAGCAAATCGCTGACCTGGAAAACGCGGGGAAACTCCAAAAAGTGACGATACGCACGGCTTGGCTGACCACCTCGGACTATGCACAACTCCTGGCGTCTGCGTCACTCGGCGTTAGTCTACACACAAGTAGTAGTGGTGTCGATCTGCCTATGAAGGTGGTTGATATGTTTGGCGCTGGTCTGCCAGTGGTTGGCTGGAACCGCTTCGAGGCGTGGCCGGAGTTAGTCACTGAAGGTGTTAACGGAAGAGGATTTGGGAGCTCCGATGAACTCGTAGAGGAGCTTGTTGACCTCTTTGGAGACACAAGTAAGCTTGACAAACTGCGCGTCGGAGCGCAGAAGGAAAGCACTCGTCGCTGGGATGACGAATGGAATCCAGTAGCCGGAAAGCTTCTAGGGCTGGTATAAAAAGTAGTTTGTACAATAAAAACACAAGTATAGAGAGAAAAAAGAAAGAAATTTTCACTGCTAGGCTTGGAATTTGCCGCTGCAGTATATACAGGTGTCGAATGCGTCCGACAGGGTTCGACAGGTATGTTCAAGTTCATCATGCACAAGGTCCTCACTGAGATATTCTGTTCCACAGCGCGAGCAGAATTTCGAAAGGCCCGGCTCCTGAATAGCCAGAAATGTCACACCGCACCGCACTATCGCTGGCAGTTAGCGCTTGTATCATCACAAGCCACGATCTCAATTGAGCGGTTACGTACCAAACAAATGGCCAGCCGCACACTGAGCTTCCGCGGCGGAGTACCAAGAGAGCCCTGCATCGCATATAGCACATTGTTCGAAGATCTGTTGGCCTGAACCCTCCAGCTGCTCTGCAGTTTTTGCGTCTATCGTACTTCCTGGCCCCGAGCATTTAGCTGTCTCATCAGACAAATCAACATCTACACTTGATGCTAGCCACTCCAGAGCATTTCGAGCCTGAGACAATATCCTGTCGTTCTGAGAGTCCACAATGGCGCAGCAAGCTGCTGCATAGAGCATTTTCCGACTCAATGTCAGCCTGCTATAGTCGCCATCTTCAACGAAGAGAATATATCCCAAAGCAGCTTCCCTTTGTCTACGCAAGGCATCCGGTGATCGATCTGGTAAGGGATAGGGGAAAGCCAGGTCATCAAATTCCGTAAGCTCTGCATTCGCGTGGGAGAAAACAAGCGTTGTCCGCTCTTCTGCAGAAGTCCGATATTCAACCGTGTCTCCTGGATGTAGTGTAAAAGCTGCCACAACAAGACCTTCATAGGACGCAAGACCCCAGGTTCTGCTGATGGTATATCCTCCAAGGTCACGGGCTATGTCAAACTGTTCGCGGACATTATCGAGTTGTTTCTTCCAAGGCGTTTCTAGGAGTCCATCGTTGCTTTGGATGCCAGAAAGTGTCACAGTCGCCGTGTATCCACCTACAGTGCCGAGATGAAGGACTGGTGTCTGCGATGCTTCGTCCAAAGCAACAGTCATAGCTGGTCTCCGTTAGTGACAGATACTCGTCGGGAGTAATCAAATCTCACCACTTGTCTGTTCCCAGTGCCTCGGGGAGTCAGTGCCTATATCACTTCCGGTAGGCTCGTAGAACGGTAGTTCTTTAACTTGGATACCCTTCTTTGCTGCTTTCTCCCCTTGATATGCTGCTCGAGTAAAGCATAGCACAATCATTCCAGCAAAGCTAGCTACGGCAAGGCCAATTTCAGAGGATCCATCCTGCATACCTATGAGTAAAAGCGGTCTCATTTGTTAGTGCAGACTTACTGTGTAAAGCCAATGCAGAGGCCCAGTCAAGTGGCAACTGTTCAGGAGACCACCGTACGAAGATGTGTTCTCTTCAGAGACACATCGGGCCTTGTACTTCAGTGGAGAGCGTGTCTGGTCATTATCCGATATCAAGGTTATGACATGTTTGACCATCTTGAGCTGGGTCCCCAATGTGATAGCAACATTCCCAATCGCAGAACAAACCCCATTACTCTCTTTGGTTGGCTGATAGATCCATGGGCCAGGTGACATGAAAGACACCCTGGCACGGTTCTTGAGGGCAGAGGAGAATATCGATCCCGGTTGAACATTTTGATTCTCTGTGTGCTCATGAAGTGAGGTAAGTGACAGGACTTCGAAAGAGTATAGGCTTGTGGAAGTCGGATCTGTGGATCTTCTAGCCTGCAAGAGAATCACATCATTGTCGTCATTGGTGACCGAGAGTAAATGCATGCCCCAGCGACTTTCAGGAGGTGGCACTGCGTAGCCTGTGGCATGCTGTTCCGCAATCGGAACTTTGGGAGGCGGACACCACGTAAAAGAACGGATATTGGACTTCCGTAACCTGAGCTCTTCATCATCAAGGGATTTGAAACACGAACTTAAACAGTCGTTGACGATAGCAACCCGTGTCCATCTCCCTTGAGGACTGATATCATAGAATGATAGAAGCAGACCGGAAGTCAACACTGCCAAAATACAGCGCCTATACTTGGCAAGTCCTGGGGGTGACCAGGCTAAACCGACGACAGTACTGATGGACTGCTCCGGCCCGATTGAAAAGTTTTCTCGCTTTTGTGGATGTATGATGGGCCATTCCCCGTTTGTGAAGACATTCATGCGAATGCGTGTCACATTCCAATTTTTGGTTGCGGCTTGGGAACCAGATCCGTTTCCTCCTTCCTTCTCTGTTGTATGCTTCGGTGTCTGTCTGTCATTAGCTCTGTTTACTGTGACATGGTCATTATTCTTTACGGTGCTTTGCTTCATTGACAAGCAAGGTAGGATTCGATGCACTGACTAATACTTGGACATATTCCCCTGCCGCTACAGCAATTTCACCATCTGCGGACCATGATATGCAGTTGAAACAGGAAGGGAAAAGCTGTAGTTCTAATGGACCTAGCATCATAGCACCAAGACGTTTCAAGGGCAACTGGTCGTATACTCTAGGATATAATCTTCAGATATAGACTGTATAGACTGAAGAGTACTACGGGTTATTCATGTGACGCTTTAGGTTAAGCGCGTAGAACATTTCGCGCGTCTTGGCAAGTGGCATGTTGTTTACCTATCACGTGGTGTTGCAACATCTACTCTGTACAAGTGCGTAACTAAAAGCGGCAATCCTGGAAAGCGCAGTTGCAAAGCAACTTGAAATAATCATCAACTTTGGGTCGCCTAATCCTATCTCGGTTCGCCTAAATATACATATGCAGGTTTTGGCTGGCCGGTTCTTTGTCCAGACCTATGCGGGTATAAACTCATCGCGGTTGTCGCTTTTCAAATCAGAAATAAAATCAAAAGAAAATGTCATATGCCGGTGCACAGGCCAAAACCACAGCATCACTCTAGTCAACCCGGTCCAGCTTCTGAACAACCATGGCACTAGCGGCGCCACCACCATTGCAGATTGCGGCCACACCATATTCACCAGGCTGCAACTGGTGGAGAAGAGTGACCAGGATACGGGATCCTGAGCTTCCAAGTGCATGTCCCAGAGAAATAGCTCCTCCCAGAGGGTTGACACGGGCGTTCTGCAATCCAAGAATCTAGAAGCACGTTAGACTCAGTAATGGCCGTCTTTTATGTGGTGGGTACTAACCTTCTCGTTTGCCTTGATAACGGCAGCAAATGCCTCATTAAACTCCCAGACGGCAACCTGATCCTTGGTGATACCAGCTCGCTCGAGGGCAATGGGAACTGCCTTAGCTGGGGCGACGGGGAAGTCCACAGGGTCAATAGCGGCATCCGCAGAAGACACGATACGCGCCAGAGACCGGTTACCCTGGCCAAACTCGCGAGCCAAGTCCTTGCTAGCCAGAACCAGAGCTGACGCCCCATCATTCATGGTGGAAGCATTTCCGGCAGTGACTGTGCCTGTGCCATCCCTTAAAAAGGCGGGCTTCAAGGCTTTCATCTTATCAATCCGCAGATTCTCATATCCTTCGTCACGTTCGATAATGGTCTCGCCCTTCTTACCCTTGACAGTGACGGGGGCAATTTCATCGGCGAACTTATTCTCGCTCCAGGCCTTCTGGGCCCGCTGGTAAGACTGAATCGCATATTGATCCTGGTCTTCTCTCGAGATCTCGTACTTCTTGGCTGTGGTTTCGGCGCAGATGCCCATATGGAACTTGTTATAGACATCCCACAGACCATCCTTGATTAGACCATCCTCCAATTTAATCTCTCCGAACGGTGGAAGCTGGCTGGAACGTGGGAGGTAGTAAGGGACACGAGACATATTCTCCATTCCTCCAGCAACTTGGGCGTCTGCCAGGCCAAGCTGGATATTCTGTGCAGCAAGTGCTACGGCCTTGAGACCCGATGCACACACTTTGTTTACCGTCATGGATTCCACTGTTGGCGACAAACCAGCGAAGATAGAAGCCTGGCGGGCTGGTGCCTGACCGACCGCTCCTTGGAGAACATTTCCCATGTATACATCGGTGATCTTCTCGACAGGGAGTCCGGACTTGGTCACAGCAGACTTGATCGCAACGGCGCCCAGCTCGGGGGCAGAGACTGACGCGAACGACCCATTAAACTAGTATAAACGGTGAGTTCACTTGCAAACGGCATAGGAAATAGTAGAGGGTCGAACCTTAGCAGTCGGAGTACGTGAAGCACTGAGGATATAGGCATCCTGGATCTCCTTGAGTGCCGGGGTTGCAGCGCTGAACTGTCTCTGCCACTGGCGAGATGCGGGGATAGCCGCCCTCTTAAAGAGACGAGTAGCTGAAGCTTGGATCGCCATTTTTCAATGCTAGTAGAATAAAAGAAAGAGAAAAGGGAGATGAAAGAGGAGACAGAGATAATAAGTACCTTGTCTCCGGATTCAGAATAGGTGTCCAAGTTCCAAGGTGCCTTCAACTTGCTTCTCCGCAAAGTAATCCGCCTCTAGCCGATGTAACTGCTGCTTCAACCGTGGGCGCGGGACCACCGCGCCGCTCATCCGCTTGGACCGAGGCTGTTTCGAAGCAAGAATTGATCACATGATATAAGGTCATGTGCCTTTGAGGGTTGGTATGCGCGTTACTCAATAAGGAAACTTCCCTGGATGGTCCGGGGCCGGGATATGAGTGCTTGGTACGGAGTATCACGGATGGATTCATGATCTTAGGTCTCCGATAAGGACCACACATACTGTGTAGTATCAATGCAGATTCAATGTCCCACAATTCCGCAGCTACTATCCCCTATAAAGTGCAGTAGTGGTTTAAGTGGCTTTCTGCCAGTCACGAAGTCATTCCTTCATCCAACCCATCTGCTCTATACGCCTTGTATGAAATTCCGTCTCGTCTATGAACCGTTCTGAGTAGTCCATGTTCAACCCAGGAAACGTTCGGTGGTAGCGTTGTTTTGATGGTGGGGTTTCGACTTCTACGTACGTACGAGCATAAATACCCACCACTTCGACTAGCGGAGGGATTACATATATCGGGTTCACGATAGGGTGTGTAGCTTCAGACAAATCATTTATGCTCATGTAACTATCGCAACTACGTAGTACTAGTTCCTGGGCATTAAAAGGGAAGGGAAATTAAATCCACATCATGTGTGTGATTTATCCCCGTGATTCCTTTGGGCGACGAGCGACGAATGTATATACCAAGAGAATAATAGAAGTCCAAACACTATACATTACAGTATTCTAGTTTTTAGCATATACATATTATGTAAATTGATAACATAACTCAATACTAAGCCATCTAATTCTCTATTTGGCGGTTAGTGTTAACTCATTGATGAGTTCCAAAGAGCTACATGATGGATACGCCGGAGACAAATATATATTTTGAACACTACATCAGTACGTAGATACAAAGGAGTTATTTGCTAAGGAATAATTACTACTAAGTTTACAACAACAATGAATGCTATGTTACAAAAATGAACATTTGTTCAATTAAATCATTTCCCAAGTTGGTTTCTCTTTTTACTCTATTGTCCAAGCTACAATAGTTATTACGTTGGTGGGTCAAATTTGGACCATACGCCATAGATATCAGCATCGAGCAACCTGACAGAGGACATAGCAAATATAGATTTGCTAAATTGAGATTTTCGGTCGATAGACAGAGACTCTCGTAATAAATCGTATAATAAGTGTTGAAAGGTAAGTATCGTTTGGGGGTTAGAGTATGAAGGATCATGATGATATATACATGGGTAAATTCCGGCCGTTAGCGTTGCAAAATCCATGTCGAGTTGACTTGGCTAAGACTCATTTGGTTTAGTCAGTAGGAGCTTCTCAATGACCAGTGGACCGGATCACGGGACAGAAGATTCCCTAGCACATATTAGTACATACCTTGTAGAGCGAGTATTCCGAGGAATCGGGATGAGAAAATCCCCGTCGAAAGATGAGGATGATACTAGGCCTGGAAAGAGAGAGAAGCAAAAAGCCAGTGAACCTTTTTTTTGATGGTTAAATGGGGGTAGAATGGAAGCCGTGGCAGTTTGCCGTTTATCGTAGGAACACTCCAAACAGCAAGCGGTCTGTAGTGGATCTGCACGCCTCCCCCCATTGTTACTCATCTTTCTTCTTTTCCCAAACCACATCCAGACCTTCTTCTCTCAAAACAACACTTGAGTCCGGTTTAGTATCTGAGATTCAAGATCTGAAGACTGCCTTTGTCTTCTGTACCACAATTTAGCCCCAGTGTTGGCAGTCCCCCTTGCCCGCTCCCATCCATACTCCGATCTCGTACCCCGCCGCAATGTCGACCTCTGCCCGTCGTCGTCTCATGCGCGACTTCAAGGTACGCATTTCTCGTAGAGCTCAGAATTCGTGGTTTATGTTTATGTTTCTCAATAAATTCATGTGTACTACTCGAATGATTGTTTTGACCAGGAGGCTCGGTTTCCTTCCCCACCCCGTCCAGTTCTCGTGAGCTAACCTCTTCCCATGCGCACAGCGTATGCAAACCGACCCTCCTGCCGGTGTCTCGGCCTCTCCGGTAGCTGACAATGTGATGACCTGGTAAGTGCACCGAGTTATTGATTTTGTTATTTATTGCCCTGGTTCCTGTGCTGACCCTGTTTCTTTAACTAGGAATGCCGTTATCATCGGCCCTGCTGATACTCCTTTTGAGGATGGCACATTCCGTCTTGTCATGCACTTTGAAGAACAGTACCCGAACAAGCCCCCTGGGGTTAAATTCATCAGCCAGATGTTCCATCCCAATGTATACGGCACGGGCGAACTGTGTCTGGATATTTTGCAAAATCGTTGGAGCCCAACATATGACGTGGCAGCCATTCTCACCAGTATTCAAAGGTACGTTCTCTGATCACTAGTGATGGTGAGCGATTGGCTCTAATCGATTTCCGCTTTTCTGCAGTCTGCTTAATGACCCAAACACATCATCACCTGCCAATGTCGAGGCATCCAATCTCTACAAAGACAACCGGAAGGAGTACATCAAGCGCGTGCGTGAGACTGTCGAGAAGAGCTGGGAAGACTAGGGGACCCTACATGTGATATTGGTTATTTCTCTTAATTGTTTTCTATTCCTTTCTCTCGGTATGATTTATCTGTGGGCGTTTATGACGAAACAAATATTGTCTGCTCATGTCAAAAGGTGACAGCATACTGTCAACGGTGGCGGACACGCCGTTGGCATGACTTGTCCTTGGAGGATTCACACGCCGTTTGATGACATGCACAGCGCGGGGTTTGGGCGCCTGGTACATATTCTCCCTTTGGTCTCTTTTTGTGGATAATCGCATATGTTTCAGTTGCGAGGTGCATAATGCATTAGCTTATCATGTTTTTCTGCCTCAATTTGGTCTTGCTGTCTATTAGTCTTTTCCTTCCCGCTCTGCTTCACTTTGAACTTAACCGATAGCGTCGTTTGCTTTCGTCTCCTGAGTCTTTTATGGAACCATTCTAAATGCTGCCCACATTTCATTAGTGAAAATTAAATAAACCTTATCATTAATTCCACCGCTGCAAATCGACATTTGCTGAAGGTACTAAACTCTTATTAAATGCGGGACAATTTGACCGACAAGATAGTCTTCAGCCGATGCCAAGAAGGAGACTAACGGCTCGTGTCGAAGCATTATTATTATTTAGTGTTATTATGATTTCCTTTACAACTTTACTCCTCTGATGAAACACAAAGAAACGAGATCGCACATCTCTTTGTTTCTTTCACGTCAATCTAACTAGTCCTGTCGCTGTGGTAGTATATTGCCCTTCCGGCTGAGGCAGGTCTTGTTTGAGAATTTTTTTCTTTTTCTTTTTCTTTTTTTTCTGGCCTCTGGGGGGTTTGAAGAGATCACGAGTCCCCTCACTAAATTACTCCCCACGCAAGTGGTGTCGTGCACGTGGACCCCTGACCCAAACAACAAATCGCCCACCGTACCTGAAGTCACCACCTTCTCGTGCAACTGATCTGAACGACATTTCCGATACTTCCCCCTTTCCGTGGGGCTCTCTTTCTCGTATCTTTCGTTTTATTCTGTCCCCCCCTAGAAGCTGTCGCCGGGTTTCTGGGTCAGAGTGAACATGGCGTGAGTTTTGTTGATTCACCGCTTCAACGCCTAGAGCGGCGGAGACTGACACTTTTATGTCTGGCTTGATAGGTCATCTGGCCCTAACTCCTCCAACACCTCTATCAAGGGTGCGCATATCCTCCCGGAGACTGATGTTTCTGTTTCGCGAGTCGTGTTACTGACCAGTTCTTTCGTAGTGGTTGCGAGGTTCCGACCGCAAAATAAAGTTGAATTGTCATCCGGAGGTGAACCCATTGTAGATTTCGAAAATGAGCAATCATGTCAGATCAATGTGCGTGGCCCCGGCTGATAATCCCTCCTTCGGAACCCTTCTTCTGGATGTCACTTTTGAAATTCCTAACCGATGTACAGTCCAGAGAAGGTACCGGCTCCTTCACCTTCGACCGGGTCTTCCCCATGGACTCGAAGCAAACAGACATCTTCGATTTCTCTATCCGACCCACCGTCGACGATATCTTGAATGGTTATAACGGAACGGTTTTTGCCTATGGTCAGACTGGTGCGGGTAAGTCATATACGATGATGGGATCCGATATCGACGACGATATCGGCAAAGGTATCATTCCCCGTATCGTCGAACAGATCTTCGCCAGCATCCTTACTAGTCCGAGTAATATCGAGTACACGGTGCGAGTCAGTTATATGGAAATCTATATGGAGCGTATTCGCGATCTGTTGGTGCCACAGAACGATAACCTTCCTGTGCACGAGGAAAAGTCCAGAGGTGTTTACGTCAAGGGCCTGCTGGAGGTCTATGTTTCTAGTGTTCAGGAAGTGTACGAGGTGATGCGCCGTGGTGGCACGGCACGAGCAGTCGCTGCGACCAACATGAATCAGGAGTCGTCTCGTTCCCATTCCATCTTCGTCATCACGGTTACGCAGAAGAATCTCGAGACTGGTTCTGCAAAGAGTGGCCAACTCTTCCTGGTCGATTTGGCCGGTAGTGAAAAGGTTGGAAAGACGGGTGCCAGTGGTCAGACACTCGAAGAGGCGAAGAAAATCAACAAGAGTCTGAGTGCTCTTGGTATGGTCATTAACGCGCTGACGGATGGCAAATCCACCCATATTCCGTATCGTGATTCGAAGCTCACTCGAATCCTGCAGGAGAGTTTGGGAGGTAACTCAAGAACCACCTTGATTATCAACTGCTCCCCGAGTAGCTACAACGATGCGGAAACCATTTCGACCTTGCGATTCGGTGTGCGAGCCAAGGCAATCAAGAACAAGGCGAAGGTTAATGCCGAACTGAGCCCCGCCGAACTGAAGCAGCTGCTACGCAAAGCGCAGAGCCAGGTGATCAACTTCGAGAGCTACATATCGGCACTGGAGACCGAGGTCCATGTATGG